GCTTTAAGAATCCAGCGGGGGTGGTGGTTCAGGTGGGGGCCTTATGCACTTTTCGTTAGGCTCCCACAAGTCAATTGTCATTCCCGGCCTCCCCTCTACATCTTGCATTTTCATACCAATCATTGCTAGAGCCCGTAATTCATCGGACCTTCCTTTTAATAAATCATGTATGTTCAGCTCTCCTGTTGTATTTGACTTGATTAGTTTCCTTACATGTAGTTTTTCTTCATGGTTGCAACCAGCTGTATCTACGAGTTGCATTATCTTATCTACCCGTTTTCGTTTCTCTAACTCTTCTTCGTCTTTCGTAACAATTTCAATTTTTTTCTTGTCATTTCTTTTTTCTTTACTAAATAATCTTATCATTGCTTCCCCCAAGCGTTCAAGGTCGTCCACTTTGACGTCTTCTGCGCGCTTCCGGTAAATTTCGTCATATTCTAGCAGCTCTATTTCCAGAACAGGCACGTATTTTATTTCGTTACTTGTATTAATGCACTCTGCGACTGTTTTACCATTAACATTTCTGGCCATAAGGTTCCCGAACAATGTTCCCTCCACCGTTTCTTGGAGGGGTATCCAGCCATTTTCTGAATTATTTTTGCTTTTTCTTATTCGCGCATATATTATTTGCCTCGATCTCGCAGGTATTTTAAAACACTCCGGCCTTACCAGTGGTATCTCTACGCTATCCAATTTAATCGTATTCTCGGCGGCGCTTATCTAGCCCCGGTATCGCTTAAAAATATCCCACCCTATGATTCCTTCCACGTCAATTGAGGAGTCATGGGGGACATTGTAATGTGCACTCTAATCCGTGCAACTGAGCCTGTACTGTGCCCAACGTTTTGCGTGCTCCGTGGGTCACGCCGATAATAGCTACTCGATATCTAGTGTCTATTAGCATGTCTGTGCTTAGAAAATTAACTTTCACAATCGAAATCTCTGCGCCTGTATCCGCATAAAAAGTCGCCTTTCCATTCTTTAACTGTGGTCCCTGTAACTGGACCGATGGTGGCCTATGCCCTGTTCTCGTGAGTTTTATAGTTATCTTCGGAAGCTGCTCTATTTCTTCGTCACGCTCTGAAAGCTCGGGTTCATCATTATCTACATGTGTGTCCGGCGCCTTTGTCCGATTACTCTTCTTGCGGGCTCTCCTGCCTTTTCTTATGCGTTTTCCGCTCCGTTGTATCGGAGTGTCATCTTGCTCTGCCGTATTACTTTCTATTTTTCCTTGCGCTGTGTAAGTACTCGGACTGTTGTTGTGCGTCTTCTTCTCTACTATCTCTTTCTCCGTTTTTTGCGGCCTCTCTCTCACACATTCTTCCTCACCGGACACACTTTTCTCTATCTCTTTCTCTAGTTGATACTCGACGTTTGGGGACCACACCAAACAGCTTGCGAGTTTAAAGCTACGGGAGGGTCTCTCCTGTTATCCGGAGTGTATGCGCCGCTTTCTCGCTGCTGTGGGCTCCTCTCCTGTGGCGGCCCATGCCTAACTAGATCCCTATTATAGCCATCCCTGCTATCCTGATTTATTTAGCCGTTACCGTAGCGGTTGAATGTGCCCCTGCTATAATTGTTGTACGCGTCACCGTTGCCACGGTTGTCGTAATAATTGTAACCTCTAGAGTTGTAATCATTACACCTGTAATTGTGATTGTTGATACTATTGTATGGCTCCGTTAGGCCATTCTTATAACCCCTGTCGTAATTATTGTAATTATTGTTATTATAGTTATCATTCCTAATATCTTTTCATTCTCTTTCTTTACTTTTTTTGTATAATTATTGTAATTTATTTTAGTGACTTTGTCAATGTAAGTATTTTTCTCTTAGTTAAAAAAAAATTTTCCATCGTAAACATGTTTAATTACGTTATCTTTTATTTCGCATTGGCTCTACGTGCGCATATAAGTCGCTAATTAAGTTTGTGAATACTTAGTCGGATATAATATTATGCGCTCCATTTTGCCTGAGGGGTCATATAACCTATTCAAGAACACTGTAGAGTCAGATAGTTTGACGGTTGGTTGCCTTACATTTCACTAGTATTTTTTTTTGGTCGAGACAAGCTTGGAGGTATGAATAAAAAAAGTCATTTTCTGGCGGTGAATTTTTGACCTGTATCGTACATATTTCTAATATTTTCTATCCATACATTTTTTTATATAATGTTTCCCTCATACTCCTCCAATCTCTTTTCTTATGTGGTCAGATTTAGGAAAGGATTTATAAGGGTATTTTTTTATCAACTACCGCTCTCGACGCCGTAGACGTATTTGCTGACTTACTTCGCTGCTTTTTCGATATTTTTTTTTTTTTTTTTTTTTTTTTTTTTTTTTTTTTTTTTTTTTTTTTTTT